CCACACGAACAGCTTCCGGTCACAGTGCTAGCTGCTTACGAACGGAATTATTTGAGTGAGAAAAGAGAATCAAAAACGAAATTGCATCAAGTGAAACTTCATCACAAGGGTTCCTTTTATAGACTCTCTTGTGGGCTGCGGGCTAAAACCCTAATTCACATGATCCATAATAATATTATATATTATTATAATAACTATTATTATAATAAATATATTTATTTTATTATTATTTTATAACCATTATAAAATAACAATAATTATTATTATATTATCCGAATTTCTATTTTTCACTTAAGTGCACCGTACCTTACGGTGTTCCTTTGATTTCTCTATTTCTCATCAAACTGTCCTTATGTGTGTGACCCTGTAGGATTTCGTAACGTTGGTAATTATATTAAATTATATATATTTAACATAATAAACAGTAAGCGGTATCTAGCAACACATCACTGCTACCCAAGTCACGAAAATGTCATGTGATCTGACAAAACCTTTTTCGTGATAATATATGTTTGTACAATTACCCTTTTGCCCCTATGTCTATATTGAACACAAGGCATACACTGTGTCATCCTTGTCCAGTTCAATATTGGGCCCTTAGACATTTCTCCTGTTATGCAGGATTGGCAAATTCCATCTAGGACACTCATGTCCCTCAGCATGCTTCGTGGAGTGCCCATCAACTGTCTTTATGATCATCCAGTTACGGATAATGTTTGATCAGCAATAAAGCACCCGACTCTACATCTAGGGTCCATAGTGGTTTCAGGTCGAAGGGTGGTAATACACCATTATCACCATGAGAATAACTTATGACACTTTGCATAACATACTATGTAGTATTCTCATAGCGGGTCAATCCGGTATAAATATTACTCCTAATATTTATACCTATGTCAAGACTTGATAACTCTTTATCCATGATCCATGAGATGTGATCATCAGTCTATCTTCATAATAGTCTCAATGCTTTTAATGTTATCCCACTTTGCAATAAAGCTTGACTACGGATATTTTAAGAATAATGTCTTTATGTTTAATGGGATCTCATGATTAAGTCACACTTAACATTTCATTAAACAGACTAACTATTCTAGGGACTTTATTATTCTGAAAGACAAACATAATAAAGAAATGCCTTTTATTATTAAACGAATAATCTGATACAAGTACCAAAAAGTATTGGCCTCTAGGGCTTACACCAACACCAAATTCATCTTCCCTTCTACTACCTGCTCTCGAAGATAATGGAACCTCATTTAGATGTGCTTGCTTCGACCATGTGCTATTGGATTCTCCGCCAGGTTGATAGCTGACATGCTGTTGATTTTCATGGTAATTGCTCCATGACTCTTCCTTGTAATCTCTTCGACCAGTTTCACCATCCATGTTGCTTGACAAGCACAAAGGGAAACAACTATGTATTCTGCTTCGCATGATGAAAATGCCATTACTAGCTCCTTTCTGGAACTCTAAACAACTGGTGCACCACCTAGCATAAACACACAACCAGTTATGGATTTTTTATCCTCAGCATCACTACACCAACTCGAATCAGTGTATCTCACTATCTTGCATTCTTTTCCTTCATCAGCTGCAGGAAACAAAATGTCGTAGTCGATAGTTCCTTTCAGATACCTCAGTATCCTCTTCGCCGCTGCTAGGTGTGATACATTTGGCTTCTGCATGAATCTACTTACCATACCTACACTGTATGCTAATTCAGACCTTGTGTGACAAAGGTATCGAAGTGACTCAATAAGTCTTCTATATTGGGTTGGATCGACATCATCTTCATCTGAATCCTTCGATAGTTGCAATTTGGTCTTACCTGGAGTTGAAGTTAGGTTGCAATCTTGCATCTCAAATCTCTAGAGTATTTCTCCTGCATATCTTCTTTGGTGAATCATCAAACCTCTACTACTCTTGTAGAATTCGATGCCAAGAAAATATGAGAGATTTTCCAAGTCTAACATTTCAAACTCCTCACTTAAATCATGTTTGAAATCTTCGATCTCTTTCTTGCAACTTCCTGTTATCAACAGGTCATCGACATAGAGACATAGCATAAGCAATTCACTATTGTATCTCCTTACATATACTCCATGCTTAGTTGTCACTTCACAAATTTCTTCTCCCTTAGAAAGCTGTCGATCTTCTTATTCCAAGCTCTTGGAGCTTGCTTAAGTCCATACAGGGATTTATGCAACCTGTACATCTTTCTCTCTTCGCCTTGTTTTACAAACCCAGCTGGTTGTGCAACATAAACTTCTTCGTCTAAGGGGTCATTCAGGAATGCACATTTCACATCCATCTGATATGTGTGCCAATTGTTCATGTTTGCTAGACCAATAACCAACCTAATTGTTTCGATCCTAGCAATAGGTGCAAACAATCCGTCGAAGTCGATTCCTTCCTTCTGTAGAAATCCTTTCGCTACAAGTCCCGCCTTGTGTCGAGTTACTTCTCCTTTAGGATTCACCTTCACCTTGTAAACCCATTTCACATCAATTGCCTTCTTGCCTTTAGGCAATTCAATAAGTGACCAAGTGTTATTGACTTCAATGGACTCTAGTTCCTCATTCATTGCTTTCATCCACTTTGAATCTTTCAATGCCTCATCTGTATTGAGTGGTTCGACATGTGCATAGAAAGCATAGTGTACCAGCTCACCTTCTTAATCAACCACATCAACTGATGTGATCACACATTCTTGCAACCTTGCAGGCATGTGTCTTGTTTGTCGAGGTATGCATGGGTCTGCTTCACCTCTGACTTCTTCTTGTCGAACTTCTCTTTCGACTTCACTAGTTGGTTCTTCACATAATATTCTCACTGAGTTCTTCTTAACATTCTCAATTCAATCACATTCCTTAAGCTCATATATGATCACGTTCCTGCTGATCATAACTCTCTTGTTCAATGGATCGAACAACTTGTATCATTCAGACGAGTGATATCCTATTAGGATAATTTGACTCGACTTGTCATCAAGATTTGTTCTCAACTTATCTGGCACATGTCTATGTGTTATAGATCCAAACACCTTCTAGTGACTTAGGTTAGGCTTGACACCATACTAACATTCTTCTGACATGATTCCTTCTAGCTTCTTCGTCGGACATCTATTCAAGATGTATGTTGATGTTGACACAGCTTCTCCCCATAATTCTTTGGGTAGATGCTTGCCTTTCAACATACTTCTCACCATGTTCATGATGGTTCTATTCTTCTTTTTTGTAGTTCCATTCTGCTGTGGAGTGTAGGGTGGCACTACCTCATGTACAATCCCTTATTTCTCACATAATGCATAGAAATCTTTTGACACATACTATCCACCACCATCAATCCTCAGAATCTTTAGCTTTTGACCACTTTGTCTTTCGACCATAGATTTGAATTTGACAAATACCTCAATCACTTCACTTTTCTTATTGATCAGGTAAGTCCATAATTTTCGACTAAAATCATCTATGAACGTGACAAAGTATTTGTTGCCTCCAATCGTATCCACCTGGATAGGACCACATACATCAGAGTATATGACTTCAAAAATTGCCTTCGACTTGCTTCCTGCATCTTTGCTAAAGTTATTCTTGTGTTGTGTCGCCTAAACATATTCTTCACACACTTCGCTTGGAATGTCAGTTTCTGATAATCCTGAAACCATATTTCTTCTCTTCAAATCTCTGATGTCTTTGAAGTTAAGATGACCAAGTCGATAATTCCACATTCATTCATCTCTGCTGGCCACAGTTGCAAGGCACTTATGCTCCATCACATTAAGTTCAATCTTGAAGGTCCTATTCTAAGACATCGGAGCCTTCAAGATTAACTTACCACCTAATTCGAGAACCTTCATCATCTTGTCTCCGATCAACACCTTGTAGTTCTTTATGACTAACTGCCTTATACTGAGCAAATTACTCTTCATGCCTAGTATGTACAACACAATGGAAATTATTAACCTCTTGCCATCTTTCCTCATAATTAGAACATCATTAATACCTTCAGCTGCTAGAGTATTGTCATTTGCAAATTTCACCATGTTCTTCGTTGATGGCTTTATGTTGACAAACCAATACTTCCTACCAGTTATGTGTGATGAGCATCCTGAGTCCAAGTATCGTTGGTCACAGAATCTTTCTTCATATCTTATTGTGACCATCATCAACATCTCTTCTTCTTCATGTTTTTCCAGCTTTGCATCAGTTTCTTGATTCTTCTTCTTTTCTCGACACTCACTAAAATAGTGACCATACTTTTAAAAATTAAAACACTGAATGTGACTTTTGTCAGGCTTTCGACCACCACTTCTTCCTCTACCTGCAACACCACCTCTCTGGTTGCCTTGGTTCTAAGGTTTTCTCTAATTCAACCAGTTTCCTTTCTGTTGAGTTCGACCAGTCGAACTGTTGTAGTTTCCTCTACCTTTCTTGTCATTCCACCTTCCTTTGCTTTTATTTTCTTCTCATGACTGTGTCTGCAAAGCCATATCACTATTCGACTTTCCTGCAGCTCTTTCAGTCATCCTTTGTTCATAAGACTCAAACGTCCCTTGAAGTTCTTCTTTCGTCAATACCGACAAATCTTTCGACTCTTCTACACCTTGAAACGATTTTTCAAGAATCTTCCACGCTTCATTCGCTGACTCTACATCACTAACCTTTTCAAAATTATCTAGATCAACACATTGATGGATTAAAAAGAGAGCTTTATAATCTTTCTTCTTCAATTCTTTGTGTGCAGTCTTTTCTTGATCTGTCGCGTCTTCTGCAAGCGGTATTACTCCTTCCTTCACAAAATCCCAAAGATTTTGATAACAGAAAACCACCTTTATCTGCTTGCACAAATTCTAATAATTATTCCGATTTCAGGTTTGCATTTCAATTTTTCTCTTTCAACTTTTTCAGCTTTTATTCAAACGCGCGTTTTCAAATTTCTAGTTGTTTCTATAGAAGAAACTGATTGTTTCCATGCAGAGATTTTAGAGATTGAAAATGGTGTCTGAAGCAAGCAAGAAAAAGGCCGCCCAGAAGAAGGCCGCCGCCGCCGCTAAGAGAGGAGGCAAGATAGCTGTCGCTGCTGCTTCATCCAAAACCGCTTCGGAGAAAGCGGTTGACAGTGTTGCCAACGGAATTGGGGATATTCAGATATCTGATCGAACATGCACCGGCGTCCTCTGTTCTCATCCCCTTTCCAGAGATATTCGGGTGAGCAATAACTGATCATCGTTCAGTGCTATTAATTAACTTTTTTTGATTAATTTCTACTGAAAAAACTATTGTACAGTGTTTTGATTTTGTTGATTTGTTGGTTGTGTTTGATATGTTGAGGGAAAGATGCATGTAGGGTTAGTTTAGTTCTTTGTAGGGATAATAATTCAAAGTGGTTAATGTAAATATATAGCTTGAACAGTAAGATATTGAACATAATTACTTAAATGATTTAGAAGAAAGAAAGAATCTGATTTCGGAAGAGTGAGATGATAGGAATGCACTTGGTGGAGCTGAATGGCTTTGTCACTTTGAAATTTGATGTTCATGCATTTTGCTCTGTTTAAGGATAGCCTTATTTTGAAACATTCTGATTTTGATTATATTTAGGCTTTGTTTGGGTAGATGGAGTTGGATGAGCAGAGAAGTATGAGATGGAATGGAACGATATTTCATTGTTTGGATCATTTTTAATCCGATGGAGCGGAGCGGAATGAAGGACAATATATTTCTTTCCCCTCTCATTTGTGCGGAATGAACAACTTGACTTGTCCTGTCATAAAATTTTCGAGCGACTCTCTTCCGTTTCATTCCATTTCACTCTGGTCACTGTATGATAGCCAAACATAGCCTTTAGTTTGATTATTTTGATTTAGGCTCGACTAGTGAGTTTATGAGTTTAGTTTGATTATTTTTCCTTGGCTTTTCAATTGAAAGAGTATTCATGTCTTGGTTATTTAATTGAAAATGTTTTGGCTTACTTTTGCATTCACATATTGCAGTCTACCTCTCGAAAAAGAGGATAAATGGACAATCTACCCAGATCCTTCATTAATTATTAATCCATATTTTTGGAAACTGGAGTAGCATTCTCAATGATAGCCAGTAGTCTTACTTTTAAACTATTGTTCTTAGCATGGGTGCCTGCTTGTATTTGAACACCTAGCTGAGCAGTTGGGCCGGTAGCAATGACATTCTACCATGTTGCCCAGATCAAAATCTCGATTCTCCTTTGTGAATGTACACCTACCTAGTACCTACTATGAGTCCTTCAGAGGTAGGTGATATTTCAATGTTGAGCCATAAAAAGGATATTTCTGCCATCTAATTATAAATACAGTTAATTTTCAATGCATTTAAGATGATTAGTGTTGTATATTGTATTGAGCTATTGGTTTATGCTGCATTTACAGATAGAATCTCTATCAGTTACTTTCCACGGACATGATCTTATAGTTGATTCTGAATTGGAGCTAAACTATGGAAGGTTTGTCATTAATATTTATTTGTTCTGATTTCTGAATAGGATGCTATTGATTATAACTGTATATTTGTTGGTGAATATGTTTTCTATAACTTCCTTTCAGACGTTATGGTTTGCTTGGATTAAATGGTTGTGGAAAATCTACCCTACTCACAGCTATAGGGTTACGTGAACTTCCTATTCCTGAGCACATGGATATTTATCACCTTAGCCGGGAAATTGAAGCATCTGACATGTCTGCATTGGAGGCTGTCATTAGCTGTGATGAGGAAAGGTTGAGATTGGAGAAAGAAGCTGAAGTCCTGGGCGCACAAGTATGTTTAAGTACTATGACATCTGAATTTTTTTGCTCACGGATATTTGCTTTTATAGACGAGTCCATGCTTGATTAATTTCTGTTCCAGGATGATGGCGGTGGTGAAGCACTTGAGCGAGTTTATGAACGACTGGAAGCTATGGATGCATCAACTGCAGAAAAGCGTGCTGCTGAAATTTTATTTGGTCTTGGTTTCAACAAGCAGATGCAGGCAAAGAAGACACGTGATTTTTCTGGTGGTTGGAGAATGAGGATTGCTTTAGCACGGGCCCTATTTATGAACCCAACCATTCTTCTTCTTGATGAACCAACCAATCACCTTGGTATCCCTCCTCCCTGAAATAAGTAACTCTTTATTTGCAACTAAATTGTCATTATTACCTTGTCATGTTTTATCCATTGATTTCATTGTGATGATTTTCATCGTGAGCTCACTTATCTTTTGAATTGAAGCTCCTGTGGATTCTTTTAATGCTGTTTCAAATATGCCTATCAAAGACCTGGATATTATTGAGTCCTTCCATTCTAGTTTGTCTGTTGAGTAGGCTTCTATGTAGTTTTAATTAATGTTTTCTTGGTGTCTGTTTTCCAGTGTTATCAAATTGCCCCACCATGGCCGCCATGGCGGATTTACATGGCGGTTTTTGGGCTCGCCGCAATGGTAAATATTGGCCGCTATTGCGGGTTTTTCTGCCATAATTCGCAATAACAGCGCCACAAAGCGGCCGGTATGGCGGGATTTTCCCTCTCCGCCATGGACCGCCATCCGCCGTCGACAAAACTGCTGTTTTCATAGAGCATTTAATAGGATTTTATCAAGATAAAAGAATATATCTTTTGATGCTTTATATCAAGACAAAATCATAAGCATAAATATATATATCAGTCACTCTTATTTTGTCTCATTGTGACTAACTATTATTTTATTTTGTTTTGTTTTGTTTATTAGTATAACACTTTTTTTAATACAAAATTAATATAACTAAGAGTTAGTTTCAAATATATTAGTAAGAAAAATAACTGAATAATGTTGAAAGGTTGAACGTGGTATATAGTGGGGTCCACTCCACTCTTTATTCATAGAAACAGTTCTGTTACTCATTCTCTTCCGCTACCGCTCTCTTCTGTAACCGCTCTACTCACCATCAATGGCTAAGGTTCTCTCTCTCTCTGCATTTCATTAATCAAATCTCAATTTCTTCTACTTTTCTTCATTCATTCATTCATTCATGTCGCAGCAAAAGCAAAAGAACAAGACCAACGACCAAACCCAAAAACAAGAAAACAACGAAACCAAAAACAGCAACAACAACAAGAAGGAAGATGAAACAAAGCCAACAACAGTCATTTTGAAAGTCGACATGCATTGCGACGGTTGCGCTTCCAAAATCGTCAAATGCATTCGCGGTTTCGAAGGTTTTTCTTCTTCTTCCATTCATACAAAAATTTATCAATATTTCATTCTTCAACTGTTTCATCGGTTTTTGTATATTATTTACTGGATTATTTTTTTGTTTTTATTAAACTGAAGCGTTGAAATTGAACCTTCTTGTTGAAGGCTTTGAGAAAATGAATGTGGATAAAGAAACCGGAAAATTCACCATTAATGGAACCGTCGACGCTGCAAAACTCAAAGACAAGCTTGTTAGTAAGACCAAGAAGAAAGTTGATGTTATTTCTCCGATTCTCAAAAATGACAAAGAAAACAAAGACAACAAAAACAAACCGGAAGAGAAAAAACCTAAAGAGGTACTAATGTTATATTGTTTACATCTTTTAATTTGTTTGTAAATTTTATTTTAATTCATTCATTGATGGAAATGGAAAATGGAATAGCCTCCGGTGACGACGACTGTTTTGAAGATGGAACTGCATTGTCAAGGATGTATTGAGAAAATTCGGAAAACTGTGTCAAAGACAAAAGGTGTTTGTTTATGTTTTTTTTTTGGTTTAATGTGTTGGTGTTTATTTTTGTTTGTTGATGATTTTTTGTTTTTGTTGGAATGTAGGTGTTTATGATGTGAAAATAGATAAGGAGAAAGAGACAGTGACAGTGAAGGGAACAATGGATGTGAAAGTGATGGTGGAGAAAATGAAGAAGAAATTCAAGAGGAAGGTTGAGGTGGTTCCGCCGAAGAAGGAGAAGGAGAAAGAGAATGAGAAAGAGAAAGAGAAGAACAAAGGTGAGAATGATGGAGGTAAGAAGAATAAGCAGAAAGGTGAAGGTGGAAATAACAAGGTTGATGAGAATGGTGGAAAGGGGAAAATGGAGGTTACGACGAATTCGAACGGACATGGTTATGGATATGGATATGGCTTATTGGGATTTGATTATGGTTATAATAATAGTAATGGAGAAGGTGAAATTCTGCAGTTGCCTGCTCCTCCTCAAATGTTTAGTGATGAAAACCCTAATGCTTGTTGTATTATGTGATGAAACTTTGGGCGCAAGTAATGTTTTTTTTTTTAGGTTGGTAAAAAGTTTGTTAACAAACAAAGTTGAGACTTATGTTATGCATTATGTAAATGAAAAAATGACACGTATGTCCAGTTTGTTTGTGTTAAAGGAGAAATTGCAAAGGTTGTTCTTACTATATGATAATTTTGTGATAGTGATAAAGAGGTTATTGTTCTCATCATTGGTCATTTTGGGTTGTCCTTTTTTGCAATATGGTATATGAGTGTTCTGTGTGGATGATTTGGGCACACTTTTCACGATCAAGCATAGAGAACATGGCAGCAGTGTCTTAAATCAGACCTATACATATAATGGGAGGGGAGGGGCCACATATATAAAGTGTCAGAAAATATTTGTTGAGTTTGTTACTCTGCCAATCATTCTCTCTACGGAAACAAAAGCAAATATTAGTAGAATTCTTTTCCATATTGCTTTTGCCTTTAACTTCTTCTTTCATGTACAATTTACAAAATATTCTTTAAGTTTATGACAAAATTGACATTGTAACTTTTTATTGCTTGTCAGTGATTGTAATCGCTGCAGCAGAGAAGAGGCTACACATTTTGTATAATCAATTTCAGGTTTCAAATGGGGGCGTATATCCTAATTCAAAAAATAAATAATGATTTTTCTAATTAAAAAACTAATTAAGGTTATTTATAATAACCTTTTTTCATTTTATTAAAATTAAAATACTTCATTTAAAAAATAAAATTAAAATTAAAATAAAAAATAAAAAAACTAATATCCTACTTTTACGTCTAGAGGGCCGGCCTTGCTAAGTTAAATAATGAGGTCAATCTTGCTAACTTAACACTTTTTTCTGGGCTTTTATATTCATATCAAACACATTTATTTTTTGAGATTATAGTTTATAAATTATATCATAATAAAAAATTTATTTAATAAAAGACTTTTTATTACAAATTATAATTTATTTTAGAGTCATGCTAACGAGTGTTTCAAGGGCACTCTTTAAACATTGTAAATAACAAAAAAAAATGTATTAAATACAAGTCTTTTATAAAAAATATACATTTTATTCTTTAAAAACATTCATTGTTTTAATTTTCAATGCACTCTTTAAACATTGTAAATAACAAAAAAAAAATGTATTAAATACAAGTCTTTTATAAAAAAAATATATTTTATTCTTTAAAAACATTCATTGTTTTAATTTTCAATGCATTCAATACAAATATTTTCAAACAAAATATGTCTTTTTAAACTCTTAACGAATGTCCAGATATATTCGTTAGCATTTTCTTTTATTTTATTAATTTATAATTTATTGCTCCGACACTATTTCAAATAATATTTTAATTTATATTTTATAACTTCTCATTTTTTTCTTTCACTTTTACCTTCATTATTTTAACAAAAATTCACTACTATCATTTATTATTTATTTTCATTTAAAATAAAATAATTAAATATTAATTGTTTCTTATATCATTTTAATTTATCATGTAATTGAACCACTAAATTTGTCAAGCAATTCAATTAATTTATTAGTTATAAATCTTCAGCCATCAACTATAAATTATAAACTAGTCATCAATCATCAATTATAAACTATAAACTATCGGTCATCAATCATCAATTATAAACTATTAGCTAACTGTTTTTGAAAGAAAAAAATAGAAAACTCACAATAAAATAAACTCACAATAAAAAATTTATTACTAACTTGCAAATTTTAGACGAAAAAAAACCTATCCTGTCAACAACTATTTTTGAACGGAAAAATAGAAAACTTTCTCAACAACTATTTTTGAACGAAAAAATAAAAAATCCTCTCAACAACTATTTTTGGACGGAAAAATAAAAAATTCTCTCCACCAGAATTTTTTTACGGAAAAATTGTAAACCCTTTCTAGACACAACTATCCAAATTCTCAATAAACCCAAAAGATTAGAATTATTATTGTAAATAAAATCAAACTAACTCCCTATATTTATAATAATCTTTTACTCATTTTTTCTTCACATTACTCGATGCGGGACTTGGATGAGTACTCACTTTAACACAACATATCCTTCATTCATTCAAAGTCTCGCATCTTTTCACTTAATAGTCACCATCATCCTCACAAGCTAAAAGATCGTCTACACAACTAACCATATTTGTTCTTCTTTATGCTTCACACATCCTCTATAAATTCTGGACATCTATATTGCACGTGACCAAATTGTTAACAATAATGACACTTGACATAACTCATATCTCTTGGTTGAAAACTTCTACCATATTGATCACCATAGTTTTTTCTATGTCCTCATTTGACTACTAGTACCTGATTTTCTTCAGGAGATTGATCAATACCCATCAGTTGTTGACTCTCTTTCAATGATTTCACTACTTCATCTAACTGTAGTATTCTCTTCTCTGCTAACACTTATTGCACTAATGATTTATAAGATTTAGATAGTGAAGCCAACAAAAGTAGTGTTTGCTCTTCATCTTTGATATCTTCCCATGCATTCATGATTCTAGATACCAACTCATTAAATTTATTAACATGATCAAATACATTACCTTCATCTTCCATATTCAATGAGTATAAATTCATGTTCATCAGCAATCAATTGGTTAATATGGTTGATGCAAACTTACTTTCTAACAAATTCCACAATTTCTTTGGAGAGGTTTCTTTCAAGACAATCACTTTAATCTGTGGAGCAAGTGCCAACCGAATTATACTCACTGCCTTTTTTGTATTGAATTCCAATCTGAATATTTCATCTCACTTGGTTTTTCCTTTTACAAAGCATAATCAAGACCTTGTTAGACCAAATAGTCTTGTATCGTGCATTTCCATAAGGGGAAATCCATTCTCCCATCAAACAAACGAATATCCAACTTCAATGTAGCCATAATATTGTTTAAGAAAAATAAAACTCAAATCAAATAAGATGATAACAAACATGTGATTTCCTCCCTTGATCGAAACCTTTGCTCTGATGTCAGCTGTTAGAAATATAACCAGAGTAAATCTCAAATAATTGATACAAATAAAATAAAATAAACTTACAATAAAAAATTTATTACTAACTTGCAATTTTTGGACGGAAAATTGCAAACCCTCTCAACAACTATTTTTGAACGAAAAAATAGAAAACCCTCTCAACAACTATTTTTGGACGAAAAAATAAAAAAACGCTCTCCACCATAATTTTTGTACAGAAAAATTGTAAATCCTCTCTAGACACAACTATCCAAATCCCTAATACACCCAAAAGACTAGAATTATTGTGGTAAATAAAATCAAACTAACTCTCTATATTTAATCTTTTAGTCCCTTTTTCTTCACATTACTCGATGTGGGACTTAGATGAATACCTATTTTAACATAACATATTTCTGATGGGTCATCATGAGGGGAAAACATACACATTGGGTCAAACACTCACCTAAAGGTCAAAGACTCAGTCGAACAAGTGAGAGAGACACCGCATATTCGCCCAAAATATTAAGGTGATAGGAGTATGGGTTCTCTTACTTATAAAGTGTTTAACCTCCACTTTTCTAAGCAACGTAGGACTTAAAACTCACACTTGTTTCTCCACACAACTCACACTTATTTTCCAACAATCTCCTCCTCAAGTATGAGTCCATCCACTATGCTCCCCCTCAAGCATGGGTCATCATGAGGGGGAAACATATACATTGGGTCAAATACTAATCTAAAGGTCAAAGACTCACCCAAATAATTGAGAGAGACACCACATATTCACCCAAAATCTTAAGGTGATTGTTGTATGGGTCATCTAACTTATAAAGTACTTAACTTCCACTTTTCTAAGTAATGTGGGACTTAGAACTCACACTTGTTTCTCCATACAACTCACGCTTATTTCGCAACACTAATTTATCATTCATTCGTTAATTTTACCAAAGAGAGTCTTAGCTTAGTGAATGTCTTCTAAGACACTAGAAATAGAGTATTGGTGGTTTTCTTAAACGTGTTATGCTGAAGAGAAAATAAATATAAAAAAAAACTTCATTTCTAAAACCCGCAACAAAAATATCATGTAATTATTTTAATATTACACTGATTAGAATTTTACGATTTAACGGTAAATAAATGTGATGATGTGAATTCGGTTTTACAATTTAATATTTTTGCATAACTATCAATTTAGTTAATTTAATGAAACTCTCACATTCTTTTACAAAAAGAAAAATTGATGCAAGCCTTTCATATTAATATTAATTGGAGTAAAATATAAACTCATTTGTCATGTTAAACCAACTCAATTAATAGGTGTCAAATGGAAAGACGTCTCTTTTATTCATCTTTTCTCGTCTACTAGAAAAAAAGAGTTGAAACACTTAGTTTTATTTTTACCTCAACCCAATCACTCATCTAAACTTTTAATTACAAAAGAAAAACTTATGTCGCACCCCAAAAATTAGTATACTAAAACTATCTAAATTTTAACTTTATTCCTCATTTTCTTCTAACCCTTTACCATGAGGGACGAGAGAAAATCTAAATCAAATTTGATAGGTGACGTACCTTGAAAAATAAGAACAACCTCGCGAAACGCAATGGCACACCCGCGGGATGGACTTAATAGAGTCGCCACCGATCTTTATTTATTACGATAGAGAAAAAAAAGAAAATATCAAATAAAACCCCTAAAAAGAAATAAAAGGATATGGTCATCGAAACCAATATCTGAGTTCGGGAGTCGGTTAAATAAGGGGAAGGTATTAGCACCCCTTCACGTCTGTTGTACTCAATGGGAACCATTTAGTTAGGGTTGAATGTATGTTAGCTTAAGTTAGTTTCTAATCTTCTACTTATTTGAATGGAAAAGAGAGAGAAATGATTATTGTTGAGAGAGAGAGAGAGAGAGAGAGAAATGTTTTTTATATTTTTATTAAGAGAAAGGGAACCTAAAGAGATTTTTATTATTAGAGGGCTCGCCATGACTTCGTAGTCTCGTGCCTATGTATCCTTACAAGG